TGTCAAACACATGGATAATGAAGATGAAACAATATTGTTTTAATTCTCATAAGCTGTTGGTGGAAAATGCTGGTTGTCAAACACATGGATAATGAAGATGAAACAATATTGTTTTAATTCTCATAAGCTGTTGGTGGAAAATGCTGGTTGTCAAACACATGGATAATGAAGATGAAACAATATTGTTTTAAAACACATACGCTGTTGTTGGAAAATGCCGGTTGTCAAACACAAGGGTAATAAATATGAAAGACGAAACATATTGTTTTAATTCACACAAGCTGTTGTTGGAAAATGCCAGTTGTCAAACACAAGGATAATAAATATGAAAGACGAAATAATATTGTTTTAATTCACACAAGCTGTTGTTGGAAAATTAACACTGTGACGCTTAATATGAATATTTTACAATTCAGACAAGCACTCAAGATGTCCGGAAATCAGATTAACAGATGTACTACAACACGTAAGCAATTTTATTAATACAGTTTCCTGAGACACATTGTGCGTTGAAAGAAAGATAATATTTAGACATTTAGAGCCAATCAGAGCTTTTGCGTTTTGGATTAGAGACGATTCTAAAAGGACAGAAGAAAACAAGTCTTATAGAAATAATACACTTTCGGAATCATTATGTATGGAACAGTTTCTTTCATTTCAAATGTTTCAAATGGTATTTCCGACTTTTTTACTTTTCTTTTATCTGTTCACACACAAGTTACAAAAACTTTCTAATGGTCACAAGTCTTTCGACAATGGTTAACTTACTTTTCTATAGTTGCAAGTATTTTAAAAGTTAGAAGTTTGTGGCTATATACATAAGCTTTTCTAGAACGTCTATGATACATAGGCCTAAGTTATGACTTTTCTATTTCACAGATTATAACCTCTGAGGTATATAACTCACTGGAGTATGTAAAGTGGATAATTAATTGTAATTCCGTATGTATTGTATTCATCTTAGTACATAACTAACTTATATATGGGAACCAAGCACCAGTCTGAGAACAGCAAAATGTGTACCGTGTATGAAAACCATGGTTACTGTTAGCAGCAAAATGTGTACCGTGTATGAAAACCATGGTTACTGTTAGCAGCAAAATGTGTACCGTGTGTGAAAACCATGGTTACCGTTTAGCAGCAAAATGTGTACCGTGTGTGAAAACCGTGGTCACTGTTTAGTAGCAAAATGTGTACCGTGTGTGAAAACCATGGTCACTGTTTAGCAGCAAAATGTGTTCCGTGTGTGATCACGGTTTAAGACCGTTACATTTGGGTATGCGTTTTGTTTTTAAAGGAGATTGTTGTGTTGGTCATCTTTGGTGTTATGTGGAGATTCAAGTGTTTATAAATGAGTCCAGTGTTTTAAAATGAATTAAAGACTCTAACTTCATTGTCTTTAACACTTATTTCAACGCAGCAATGAAAGTAAGTTTAGCAGTTATCACTTTTGTGAAATTGATTATAATCAAAGGCACTGCTTTACACGAACGTTGTGAAAACCATGGTCACTGCTAACAGCAAAATGTATACCGTGTATGAAAACCATGGTTACTGTTAGCAGCAAAATGTGTACCGTGTGTGAAAACCATGGTTACTGTTTTTTGATGTTAACAGGGACAATAGTTTTCACACCGGTAAACATTTTGCTGCTAACAGTAACCATGGTTTTCATACACGGTACACATTTTGCTGCTAACAGTAACCATGGTTTTCATACACGGTACACATTTTGCTGCTAACAGTAACCATGGTTTTCATACACGGTACACATTTTGCTGCTAGCAGTGACCATGGTTTTCACATCTTGATGTTAACAGGGACAACAGTTTTCACACACGGTAAACATTTTGCTGCTAACAATGATTATAGTTTTTAATGTTTTTTTGTTCACACTTTTGTTTCTCTCAAGATTTCATTTAACGTGTCTTTCCACAGATATTTAAAATTAATTCCAAATGTGGATCTTCAAGGTGCAGTGTACGTTTTTTAAAAGCAAGGTGGTGTGTAATTCAGATTGTTGTCTGTATTCTTTAATAACAGATTCGAGCACCTTGCTGACCGTATCTTACCCGTTATTCATAAAATCAATTACTTACGTCGTAGGATATAAGAAACTGACGATCTGTTAACACACACACACACTGTATGTCTTGTTTGATTTTGTTAGTCCCTGGTTTACTAGCGAAAGTCATATTTTGTCCAACACTGCAGGGAACACGTCACTTAAAAATACGATACGCCAGATTTACACACAGTAAAGGGATGTGACAAGACGGCTGATCTAATAATTGTCCCCCCTAGTAAGATGCTGCACATTATAGGAACTAATTACCAGTAACTTTTTACTTATCTTACGTGGTATGTCTCGCTGCAGCTTTACACAGAGGCGCCTAATTTCCCTTTTGACAGTATTCGTCTTGTTGTGCTTCTCAGTCACATTGATAGGTGATGATAGTATTATCTGTTGTCTTTAAGACAAATTCTTGTGCAAAAGGCGGAACTTTTTATCTATAGCCAGTTTGTCTTCTCGCGACCCATGCGGTTTCATTTATTTTCAGGCTTAATACGCTTTTGTTTTCCTGATTTGACAGTCGTGTATGAGTTTTTTATCACTGGAAAATGATATCGATATTCATACACTTATGTCCGTTAAGCACGGGCGTGGCATAGCACGATTGACATTTATCTTACGGAACAAACCAGTGGGGCGGAGAACAGGGGTCATTCCCACAATGGTGTTCACTCTGCGATCCCTGCTGGTGACGCATTCGGTAAGAAGCAAGCTTTCTGCAGACAAGGCGGGACCTAAAGTAAAAATCTCGCGAACAACCGACGCCGAGGCACACAAGCTGGCAAAAGCTCTTGTCGGGTGCGGATGACCGGGTTTACAGTCAACAGGTTGCGTGGAGGGAGGCGTGGACCTAATTAGGCCTACCGGTTTGCCTGCAATACGTGTTTTTCGTGTGTGTTTTTTTATCACAGACATTTGTACCTTTAAGAATTATAAACTATTAGTCTAAAGAGTCAACGACCTTTTTTTTTTTGAGCTTTAATTCACATTATCGGACTCAAGGGAAAATGTCTAAATTTCGGGCCTCCGACAAGTATGACCACACGACCATGTCAGAGCCGACCACTCTTACTGTTCAAGCTGAGGTCACCGAACACGACCAAATTGATTCAGACAATGACCACTCCGTGATGGATGCCGAAGAAACAGAAGACAGTGGACAGGATTCGGGTAGCGAAAGTGGACGTTTTCCTCAGTCCATTCGTGACGCTGTGAGTCGCGTTTTCCAAGGGTACCACTGGACACTTGTGCCGACCCCTGCCCGTCCAAGCAACTCAGACAAAAGGAAACCTCACGTGAAACGGCCGATGAACGCCTTTATGGTGTGGGCTCAGGCCGCTAGACGGAAGCTGGCTGACCAATACCCACATTTACATAATGCCGAACTCAGCAAGACCCTGGGTAAATTGTGGAGGTAAGTTTACAATAATATGCAATTATTGGGGGAAACAATCTTAATATGATTTTTGTAACTTGGTCATTACTTTGTATAATAGTTTTAATTATATGAAAAACAGTGTAAAGGGATTACAACATTTAAAATCACTACGAAATAATTATATGGAAAACAGTGTAAAGGGATTACAACATTTAAAATCACTACGAAATAATTATATGGAAAACAGTGCAAAGGGATTACAACATTTAAAATCACTACGAAATAATTATATTGAAAACAGCGTAAAGGGATTACAACATTTAAAATCACTACGAAACTCACAAATTGGTTTATTAATTTCTATATTTTATCTATATATCAAAGTTTGGTAATTAGAATATTTAACGAAGAAAAACATTGTTTTTTGTAAGTGTATTCGAAGACGCTTCGTTTGTTCAATTTCAATTTTCAGTGCAGTATCTTTCAAAATATCAATTTTTTTTAATTCACATCGTTAGTATAAAAAATTTGCAGATTGAGCTTTATTTTTTACTCATCATAAAAAATAAAATGTTTTCATTAATATTAAAGTAATTTTATAGCTGAAATAAAAAAAAATATATAGTGCTTTAAGTACATTTGAATTAGCTTACGTGAACAAAATACTCTTGGTATAGTATTGAATCCACTTTAAATCTTCTGTCAAGAACTTCATTGCGTTTACAAATGCTGAAAAAACTTCTTGTCGGCAGATGGCCTTGCACGTGCGGTTTGAACAACTACAACAGCAAAGAAAAAAAAAGCCTAGCGTTTAACGAGCAGAAAAAAATAGAGAGCCAATTAATTATTTTTTCCACGACATCTGAAATTACAGAGAAATCACAGCTCTGCTTTTATATAATCCTGGAAGTTGCCTTTTATATAACGGTGATATTTGTGTTAAAGGATCTGGGAATTAGAGGATATTAAAATATTTTCAAACTATCTAGAATTGATAGTTCATAAATTGTTTCAAAAAGCACAAGAAATAGAATACAGGTTCTTATTTACACAGCAGTTAATTGTTAAATTTCAAAAATGGCCCGCAATCAGGGAATTTTGCTGCCTAATTTTATTTATTTTTACATAAATAACAACTTCAGAGAAAATCTAATGTTGTATATACTGTAGATGTCCAACGTGGAGATGAGGCAAGACAAAAATGTAAGAGAGAGATAAAACAAAAGTTTTATCTCACGTTTGGAAGGAACACAATTTGAAGATTGTATCACCAAGCGTGACTGAATGAGATTAAGATTTTAGCGATATTTTCATGTTATGCACCTAAGGGTTAAACTTGTACAAATATTACTGATAAATAAAACTAACTTAGAACACAAAACTACTTTATTTTGATTGTTCGTTAAGAAGATTAATGTTAGTTGTAGATTTTATTCCAGTAAAATTTGTCACAAAACTACTTTATTTTGATAGTTCGTTAAGAAGATTAATGTTAGTTGTAGATTTTATTCCAGTAAAATTTGTCACAAAACTAATTTATTTTGACTGTTCGTTAAGAAGGTTAATGTTAGTTGTTGATTTTATTCCAGTAAAATTTGTCACAAAACTGCTTTATTTTGACTGTTCGTTAAGAAGATTAATGTTAGTTGTTGATTTTATTCCATTAAAATTTGTGGAGAAAAAAACATGCTTTCACAAGGATTTTTGTGTTTTGTTAGTCGTAGCGTACAGCTCCACAATAGACTATCTGCGCTTTGTCCACCGCGTTGAATCGAACCCCGGATTGTAGCGATGGTTTCTAAAGATAATACTAACAATATCGTTTTTATACGATGATGCAATACGTTCAACTTAGGAAGAAAATGTAACTATGTAATGTAAGTCCCATAGTTTAACCCAATGTTTCCCAAAGTGTAGCTAGTGCAGAAGATCGCTTGGGGGGACGTGCGATTAGGATACAGAGTCAATAGTGCAATAATATAATATTAAACGTTTTAATATATCTTTTATTAATGACAATAATAAGTAATTACTACAACACATATAGCATTTTAATGTGTATCGTGTATTATATCTCGTCACTCAACTCACTTTTATAAGAGTCCTGCCAACCGTTTTGTTCTCTCGAGGTACACATGCTGCTAAACCTGTATACCCTCCAGGAAAGTGCTGCTGCCCAAACTATTTCATTCATTTGAAATTCTGGTTATCAGTTTCTACCAACGTCTCAGATTTGGGGGACCAGTAGCTGTTTAAACATTTTTATCATTTTCAACCAGTTTTTGTTCGTTTGCTTCGCAAATTGATATAAAGCTACACAAGAACTGCCTGCATTAGCCGTTCCTGATGTTGAACTGGTAACAATTACTGCCTGCATTAGCTGTCCCTGATTTTGAACTGGTAACAAAAACTGCCTGCATTAGCTGTCCCTGATGTTGAACTGGTAACAAGAACTGCCTGCATTAGCTGCCCCTGATGTTGAACTGGTAGACTCTATAAAGGTAAGGCAACTACCACTAGCACTCGCAACCAATTCTAATCGAATAGTGGGTTTTGGCCGTTACTCTTATAATGCACTCACAGCACCAATGTACGGATCGCGTTTTAGCGGCAACTGGAAGAATCCAAGTTCCATTCAGATAAGATCTACTTTTTTTGTTCGATACGAGGGGTGGACTGCTAGCTTTGAGGGGTTTTATGAAGCTACCTATATCGCCACTGTTTGTTTTAGTGATAAACATAAAATGATATTCTAGTCACAAATGTATTTTATATACTTTTTCTAAGACGATATGCTTTCAAATCAAATATCTTAAAGTATAATTTAATTTCTCATGTCAGTGCAGTTTGTGATATACACGCTTCATGTTAATACGAACAAGATTAAACAACATGACAAACAACGTTTTAAATATTAAGGTAATACGAACTACTACGTTTATTTTGAAGTTTTACGTTCCTCCTCGAGTTTTTAGTACGTTTCTTTTTCAGTTTGTAATATGTTTGTTTTATAACACACTTTGGTATGATGTTTTCAAGAAACCTATACTTTATCAAGTTTTCATTTGCCTGAGAACACGGGTATAGCAGATAATGAGGTATAGCAGACAATGAGGTATAACAAACAATGAGGAATAACAGATAATGAGGTATAACACGCAATGAGACAATGAGGTATAGCAGACAATGACGTATAGCAGATAATGAGGATTAGTAGATAATGAGGTATAGCAAACAATGAGGCAAAACAGATAATGAGGTATAGCAGACAATGACGTATAGCAGATAATGAGGATTAGTAGATAATGAGGTATAGCAAACAATGAGGCAAAACAGATAATGAGGTATAGCAGACAATGACGTATAGCAAACAATGAGGTATAACAGATAATGAGGTATAGCAGACAATGACGTATAGCAGATAATGAGGATTAGTAGATAATGAGGTATAGCAAACAATGAGGTATAACAGACAATGAGGTATAGCAGACAATGAGGTAGAGCAGACAATGAGGTATAGCAGACAATGAGGTACATACAGCATAAGGCAAGTTCAAGTTCAGAAAATATTAATGCATATGTAAGGTACTTAGAGTATATTTTTAACAAAAACGATTTTCGTTGATCTATTTGAGTTATAATTTGTCTTTAGATACATCGTGAGAGAGAGAGAAAACTTATTCAAAATACCACGATGATAGTAAGATATATGAAACCTCACATAAAAGCCAAAGAAATGCACTTGGTATATAAGATCAGTATTAACAACATCGTAAGCAACAGACTTTATTTTAGGCCCGGCATGGCCAGGTGGTTAGGGCACTCGACTCGC